GGGAAATACTCCCAGTTGGCAGAGCTAGGAGAAATGCACCTGGTTGTTTATTTTGTCTGAAATGAGAGATGGCTAGATGTCTGGATCTACTGATTCATGGTCAGTATGTGACTGTTTGGATACATGGTTTGGAACTTGAAAGGAAAATGATTTAAAAACTGGTGACAAGGAGGTCTGGGGAAGGGAAATATGTAGATAGATTGAATGGGCATATAGTGTGAAGGTATTTGTGTCTCATGTGACACTTACCAAAGAGGAATATCATTAGAGGATGATCATAATAATCAAGTGGATGAGATGATCTCATCTGTTAATGTCAGTCAGCCTGTTCATCCATCCATCCCTGTCCTTGCCCAATGGACTCACGAACAAAGTGGCCATGGTGGCAGGATAAATATTGGACATGGGCTCGGTAGCTTGGATTTTCACTCGACTAGGTCAATTTCACTATAGCTATTGCTGAGTGCCCAACTTGCCAAGAGCGGAGACCAAAGCTAACCCTCTATTTCCTGAAAATATCAGGTAGCCATCAGGTATATTACGTTGGGCCACTAAGAGGCAACACTTTTTTTTTACTTAATAGATATTCTGGAAATGAATTTCCTTCTTTGCCTACAATGCTTCTATCAAAGCCACCATGCATGGACTTACAAAACACTTTAGTCACCCTCATGATATTCCACACAGCATTACTTTTAAGCAAAAAATTCATTTTACAGCAAATAAAGGCAGCAATGGTTTTATGCTCATAATAAGAATTCACTGGTCCTATTATGTTGCCCATTACCCTGAAGTAGCTGGTCTAATAGGATGATAAAATGGCTTTTTCCTTTTTGTTGTGGTAAAATAGAAATTACATAAAGTTTACCATTTTAAAGTATACAATTCAGTGGAATTAAGTACATTCACAATGTTATGCTACCATCACCACTATCTAGTTCCAGAATTCTTTCATCATGCCAAAATGAAACTCAATGCCTATTAAGCAGTCACTCCCCAGCTCTTGTTGACCACTAATTGGCCTTCTGTCTCTATGGTTTGCCTATGCTGGATGTTTCATATAAATCAAATCATACAATATGTGACCTTTTGTGTCTGGCTTTTTTCACTTAGCATGTTTTCAAAATTGATCCATGTAGTAGCATTGGATGGCCTTTTCAAAACTCAATAATCATGCCATCTGGATGAATGGCAACACCTTTTGAGGCTAGATAATGTTCTGTAAGTTTTGGTATATGCTCTAAATCAGTAACCAAGAGATAGCCATGGTCCATGAATCAAGAAGTGGGCTTGGGAGTGGATCTTCACTTTTACCCCTAGTGAAACATGTTCAAAATTTTTGCTTCCCATCCCTGCAACTTTTGGCTTTTCCCAAAGAATGTTCCCACCAGGGTACACCAGCAAGAGTTCAATTAAACTGGAAGTCGAGACTGCCACTTGGTCATTTTGGGCTCCTTGTGCTATTCAATCAACATGCAAAGAAGGGGATTACTGCAGTACCTGGAGTGATTAATCCTGACTCAAGCAGAATTTGAGTTGCTGCTACATAATGGGAGAAGGGAGGAATATACATTGAATGCAGGAGATTCTTTGGGGATGGACTTGGTACTATTTAGCACTCTGTGATATGAGTTAATAGAAAACTACAACAATCCAAATTGGAAGTCGAAACTCTAATGTCCCAGATCCTTCAGGAAAAAAGGTTTAGTTTGTCCCAAAAGGCGAAGAACCACTGCCAGCTGAGATGCTTGCTGAAGGCAAAGAGAATATGAAATAGGTAATGGAATAGAAGGTAGTTATAAATACAGATGCCCCTCATCTTATGATGGGGTTATGTCCTGATAAACTCATTGTCAAAAATATTGGATTTTTTCATCCCAATAAACCCATTGTAAAGTCAAAAGATTGTAAGTTGAACCACTGTAAATTAGGACCTTCTATAGCAGCAATGATCATGTTACCAGTTGCAGTTTGAGAACTATAATAGTTATGAGCATTTTCCCCTCATTTTGATAGAAATATATTTGTATATATATTAACCAATTATTTTTTCCCTCTCAATCTTTTAAGATGTGCTAACAGTGGGGAACCTTATATTTTAGTATTTAAATTACAGAATAAAGGGGGACTGTGACTCATCAAGAAGACAATTACTAATAATGTTAGCTAATAGTGGGGAACCTTATATTTTAGTATTTAAATTACAGAATAAAGGGGTACTGTGACTCATCAAGAAGAACATTACTCAAAGAAGGCTGCATATCATCTTTTGGTGAGGGAGTAAGCTGATTTTGGTTGTACGAGAGACAGTTGCATTATATGGGCAAAAGGCTGATTTTGCTATGGTCTTTATTTGAAAATTAAATATGATTAAAAGAATTATCCATGAATGTTAAAGTGACAAGAATAGTTCTGAAATAGTTCTGTATTATAAACTTAACTAAGCTGGACTATATTTTCCAGTAGTCTCCTTATGGTAATGGTTTTGGTTGGCCATAATAGAGAGCTGCAAAAGATTTGAAAAGTGGAAGTAATGCACCAACTGTTACCCTTGGAAGGTCCACGGAGGGTCCTAGGCACCATTGCAACTAGTGCATATACTCACTGATCTAACTCACCTCATTGGCAAGGGGCAATGGCAGGGCCTGCAGTTACTCCACCTTCTCTGTATCCTGGGGTAGGCACAGGTGCAGCTCCTTGGCTAAAGGCACCAGCTTCTTTTGCAGGCCAAGTGTCATCATGGTTAGATGCAGCAAGACAAAAAGAGAGGTTCCAGTTTCTCCTCTTATGTTCCAATTTGTTTAAGCTTCCTCCCACTATGCATCCAACTTTCCTTCTCATCTGCCTGCAATGGGGATACAGTGACTTCAAACCACTGTTAGACACTGAGGCAACAGTCTTTTATAGATCCTGTTACCAGTTCCCCGTTGTGGTCCCTGTTTAGTGGCTCTTCTAAGATTCTGTAAATATTCCTTCCTGACCTTTACTTCTTCAGCTTCTCTCAACTGGGTAAAGTCTAATCCCTAAAATAAATCATTTATTCTGTATCACCTGTAGTGGTTCTACTTGATGAGAGGTATTCATCTTTTGATATTTTTTGTTCCCATAATTTTCCTGGCTAACCTCATATATTTTTTCCATATGATCTTAGAATCAGCTTACCTAGTTAAAAAATGTTTGACTTTACTGATGTTAAATGTGCACATTAATTTAGGATGAATTGATGTTTTAGTAATTTAAGTCTTCCTATTCAAAGAACATTCTTTCTAAATATCCAAGTCTACTTTTCTATTTCTCCCATAAAAGTTTCCTTTATCTGAGACTTGAATTTCTTAAAGTTTATTTCAAGTACTTAAATTTTTTTGTTGCTGTAATAGGATTTCCCCTGCTATTTAAGTTTAAAGTTTGTTCCCTGTGATAGTTAACTTTATTTATCAACTTGGCTTGGCTGGGCTACTATGCCCAGTTTTTCAGTCAAACACTAGTCTAGATGTTCCTGTGAAGATACTGGTGGATTTAACTTTTTTTTTGAGACCGCGTCTTGCTATACTGCCCAGGCTGAGTGTAGTGGCTATTCACAGGCACAATTGTAGTGCACTGCTGCTTCAAGCAATCCTCCAGTTTCAGTCTCCCAAGTATTTGGGACTATAGGTGCGTGCCACCGCGCCCAACTTGAGATGAACATGTATAATCTATTGCCCTTACACAGATGAGGCTCTATAAAGTGGGTGGGCCTCATCCCATCATTGAAGGCATTAAGAGAAAAGACTGAGGTTTCCTAAGGAAGACTCAATTCTGACTCAAGACTCCAACATAGAAACCTCACCTGAATTTTCAGCCTGTTGGTCTGCCCTGCTGATTTCAGACTTACCAACCCCCATAATTGTGTGAGCCAATTTCTTATAATAACTCTCTCTCTACATATATATATATATCTCCTATGGGTTTTGTTTCCTGGAGAACTCTGACTAATAAACTCCCCAACACAGTAAAGAACACTGTAAGCAGTTGAAGCTCTGGTCTTGACAGACTTCATGGTATGGTAGAAAACGTACAGCTGTGAAATCACAGACCACAGAGTTCACTGGGGCAAATGACATACGGTCTTGGAGCCTGATTCCTCATCTGCAGAATTGGGATAAAATTACCCTGAGTTGTGTGGCTATTGTGTTGGGTAAAGTTAAACATTGCATGTAGCATACATTTTATGGTTCTTGGCTCATAGTAGGTGCAGAGTAGTAACCTAGCAAGTTTAAAGGAGATGCATTGTTTAGTTACCTACTTAGTGCTAAGTCTCCTTAAATGATTTAATCAACCTGGGTCTCTTGGATGTTATTAACTGTGACATATTTATTTGACACACACTGTCACATCAATATCACCTTCTGGGTGGTTAGATATACACGGAATTCAAACATTATTTAAGGTTAGTTCTTGCCACTTATCTGTGTAAGGTCTAGGGCAAGTTTGTTTCCATGAGCCCACTTTCAATTGAGATACTAATATTAATAATTCCTTCAGAAGGTTTTTGTGAGAAGTAATGTGATAAAATAAGACAAAGTGCTCAGCATAATCCCAAATACACAGTAGAGGCTCAACACATCTACTACATGATGGGGAAATAATTAGGATTTGAAAGATGAGTTGGATCAATTGTTGCACTACAGGGGAATTTGCCATCTTGTGAGGAAAAAAATCCACAAGACCACAATGGGGATTCTATTTCTTTTAATAGTGGAGAACAGACAAGTAGAAAAAATACCCACAGAGGTACTACAAAGTTTTAACAATATAAAAGAAACAGATGCTATGGGAAGTCTTGCAGGTGTTTGCTTATTTATCGCATCATGTGCTTTTGGTACCTGATCTCATCATCGGTAGAGGCTGTGTGGTACTTTCAAAGGCCTGCCATCTTGCCAGTGGCTAGTCACCACATATAAGTGGAAGGGTGGGTGCCTCGAGAATTGAGCCAAATCATCGATTTTGCCAGCAGGGGAAAGGTTGTTCAGGCTGAAGTCCCAGAAGCTGGAATGCATTAGAAACAATCAGTTGGTGCTGTAAAGCACTGACAGTTTGGGGAGAAATGTGACAAAACCAACACACAAATTACATATCTATTTACAAAACAGGTCAAGAGTTCTTTACATTCTCCTGCTTTCTAAAAATCAAAAGCCAACAAACAAAAACCGCTTTTTGTAGAAGGGCAAGCATACTCCTTTTTCCCCTTTGTCTTCTCAATATCATCCTCTACCACTTTTTTCATTGCAAGACTTTTCTCGGTCTTGGTATTTTTCCTCCACTCCAGACCCCCTCCTGACTCCCGAATGCTCGGCTCCCCTCTCCGCCCCTCGGACTCGGTATGGCTCGGGGGCCGCACCTGCCCAGGGAGCGCTGGAGCTCGGCCCCGCCAGGGGACGAGCAGTGACGTAGTCGTAGAGCGAAGGCTGGTGCCGCGCGGTCCGCTGACGTCACTGCCGCAGCGGTCCGGAGCGAAGCCCCACAATGGGAATTCAAGGAGGGAAAGCCGGCGGTGACTCCGCAGTTAGGGCTGAGCGCGGCAAGTGTGCTTCGCGCTTTGGGTTTCTGGGTTCGGCAGGCCGGAACGGTGTCTGTAGCTTGGGCTGAGCTGACCCCACACCCTCAGCGCGCTCGAACCTAAAGTTTAGGGCTGAGGGGGATGCTCCTAAACGATGGGGCCGCGTGCGCACGCGCCTTGGGCTGCGGGGCGGTCGGCGGGGAGCTGCGGGCAGGGCCGGGGGCTGCAGGGTGAGGCTGGGGAAGGCGGAAGGTGCGTGGCAGGAGGGGAGCGGGACTGCGCGCCGAGGTGCGGAAAAAGGATGAAGGCTACTCACGCCATCCGCCGCTAGCCCGTCTCCCTGGGCGCTGCGGCGGCACGGGGCGCTGGGCCTGTGGCGCGGCGTCGTGACGTCACGCTGGCGGCGGCCGTGGTTGGCGCAAGGTCCGCGGCTGCAAAGTGTGAATTACGCCGGGCTCGCGCCGGCGGCGGAGTGAAGTCAGGCTCCGGGGGAGGGGAGGGGCAGGACTCCCGCGGCGGCGGCGGTGGCGGCCCGAGCTGGTCGCTGGTCCCGATCCCCGCGCGCCCTGGGTCTGGCCGCTGGTTCCAGTCGTCTTTCTTTGCACTGCGTTGCTCCGTCCTTGCTCCACTCGTGCTCCGCTGTCCCCCGGACCCTCTCCTCTCGGCCGAGGAGACCTGGGACCGCGGGTTCCCGCTCCGACTTTGCCTTTGCTGCCCCCGCTTGCACCCCGTTCCCCCTCGCCCAGAGTCGGGCGCGCGCTGGTTCTCCTAATTGGCGCCGCAGCGCCTTCTCACCGGCAGCCCGGACGGAGGGCTGGGGTGGAGGAGGCGTGAGCGCGGCTTCCCGGCCCGGGGTCGCCGCCCACCCGCCCTGCCCCCGCCTCGGCCCGGTGCCCCCGAGCCGCGGCCCCCTCCCAGCGCAGGGGCCGGCGGCCGCGGCAGGGCGGGCGCCGCGCGGAGGCAGGGCGGGCGTATTCAATGGAAGTATGTTACCAGCTGCCGGTGCTGCCCCTGGACAGGCCGGTCCCCCAGCACGTCCTCAGCCGCCGAGGAGCCATCAGCTTCAGCTCCAGCTCCGCGCTCTTCGGCTGCCCCAATCCCCGGCAGCTCTCACAGGTAATCGCCGCCACCGGAGGCCCACACCGGGGCTTCTGTCTTTTGTTTCCCTCTGCCCATCCAGCTTCACCTTTGCGACACCCCACCCCCAGTTCTAGCATTGTCTATTGTTTGGGGATTTCTAGGCTGGCTCCTCGATTCGAGAGCCTTTTAATATTCGCAGCTGCCCACCCTGAGCCCTCCAGTCTCCTCAGAACCCCACCCCAGTGGGCTCTGGGATCCCTTCAGACCCTCCCCAGGCCCGTGACCCTCCGTGCACAGCAGTTGAAGCCGCAGCAATGATTTTCCTCCTCGCTTTTTCCGTCTGGAAGTTGGGTCCCCCTTCCTTAGCTGTGACCCCGGAGCACACCTGTTCACCCCGCCTTCCGACATACCTGTCTCCCCCCCTCCCGCCCATACCTGTTCGCGCCTCTCCTCCCCCAGCTCCCGAGCGCCCCGCAGTGATCGCTTGGTCCTGCGGTTCTTTCCGAACAAAAGGCCTAGGTGCCCCGTTGCTGTCTTTTCCCCAACGCCTTCGTTTTTGTGAATGGGCTTTATGTGGTATCAGAGGAACAAGTCTGCAAAGTTCACTGCGAGGAATCAGTTTTGTTTTTGATAAAGAGATTTTAGGGGAGAAACTACTGATGAGCACTAACGGGAAGACTTTGTTTTGAATGGACAAGTACCATTTGCTCCTGAGAATTTGTTCTGTGGTGATGCCGTTGGCCCAACTCCTTAGTTCTAACTAATTTTAATTGCCAGACTTAAAATGGGGAGGCAAAAAGAATTTTGTTTACATCTGAACTGTGTGCCCTCACTTTCTGCTGCCAGAAGTTACATGTTCACGATCCCTTTTTAAATAAAATATTTTTTCCTGTTAATATATTAACTTTTATGGGAGTATATTTTCTCTCTCCGTTTATATTGTATCTTGAGCAAGGTCTGTTTTTTTTTTTTGGTTTTTTTTTTTTTTTTTGCAGGCACAGCACTTAAGTAGAGATTTTGCTTTCCATAGGTATCCAGTAGATCTCATTTGCTTCTTTGCCTAAAGTGTTGGTAGAGAGTTGGGTTTCTCTTTGAATCCTTTTTATTTAAACTCAGACTTCTTTTACAGTACAAAATGGTATGCTAATGAGGTCATTGCTGACTTGTAAAAATTACCACAATATTGAGTGGTATTTTAAATAATATTACTTTGTTATTTATTTTGCAGGTTAGATCTGTGATCTTCCTTTCTTCCTTTTTAGTATTGCTTAAAGCATTTTCAGGTTCCAGAATTAAGTGTTGAAGGGATATTAATGCACTGCTGAAAGAGGTTTTTATTACTAGTAATTAAAGGTTTTTAATGATAGTAACTTTTTTCACTTCTAAATATTATTTTATTTCCTAAGATCAGCAGACACATGACTAGTAACCCATTTTCAGTTTTGTCTAAATAATAAAGGCAATCACTGATCATTTATAAAATCATAAAATACCAATAAAGTTTTTGTGTTCCCTGAGGAGAAAATGAATTAGAAGGAAGATTCCAAGGGATTAAAAGAAGGCTGATGCCAGGGGTTTTACCTGATGTATTAATTAATCCACAGAGACCAATTTTAAGCTCACTCGTTTTTGACTCATTTTCTAGCCTTAGGTTTAAATGGGTAATGGAATTTAAAAGATACGATTGTGGTAGATAAAGCTAATATTGTAGAGTTACATCACATTTTACTAACAACCTTTAAAGCTTTTTAAAAATTTCCAAACCCCAAAGTAAAGTATACAGGAACTTCTTAAACTTGGTCAGAAATTTTCCTAAATTAACACTTTTTTCTGATCAACATTATGATGAAGGTAAACTTACCAGGATGCTGAGATAGATATATTTCTCATTATCAAGAACATGCATATCATTTAGCGAGAAAGCATATGTTGACATTGATTTCTTTAGGGCTATATGGGAATTTGTAATAGCAAAAAAGGAGACAAAGCCTTGGAATTTTATTCAGAGCTCTGTAAAGTAAGTATTTGGTTAAATGAAATGCTTTCTTTAGGAATTTTTAGTTCTTAAGCCTAAAGGTACAGAAATTATAAAAATTTTAGATGGTTTTGTAATTTCATTGAACAGACTTAAAAAAAAACCACTTTTCTTTTTTTAAAGACAGAATAAGTTTTTCTGTTTTAAAATATGTCCAAAACTGGCAATCTTTTTCATTTTTTATTTTCCATAGTATTGGAGCCCAGCTTGTAGTAGGTACTTAATAAGTATTTGTTGAGTAAGTGAATAGGTAAATGAAATTATCTCTGAGCATCAGCTTTAAATATGTAAACAGCATAAAGGCATCAAAGGATAGCCGTGACTCATTTATCCGAAACTTGGTTGGGGACTTGTAACTGCACACTCTTAACAGATCCAGGAAAAAGCAGAAAAGTCTCTGAGCAGCTGAAATGGATTTGGAGATCTTCTCAAAGCCTATGTTTTAGGCAAATTCTGACAGGCTTGTTTTTCAAGTAGCCACAAATTTGACTTGAGGTGGGAGGCTGCAAGAGTCTGTTCACACTGATAGCAGCAAAGGTTGACAGCTGACACCAAAAACCAGGCATCAGAAGAAAAACTCCTCAGAGCCAGCAACTTTTTAAAAGGCACCCTGGAAACGTTTAGGGGCTTGAGGGTTTGTACAACACAATAATTATTAGTCAAAATAATGTTCAACAGAGTCTGTTTTTAAAAGTTAAAAGATTTGTAGTGTTTTTTAGAAAAAGATTTCCATGCCAAACAGTTTAAGTGTTGATGCTTAAATGGACAAGCTTGAGTTATCCGGAAAATTCATTTATGTGGAACACCAGCTCTTCCAAGGATGCCAAGTAAATGAGGCATTAACGTTTTGTTTTAAACCAGGTCGTATACTTCAATACGTTTTAAAATGGTTAATAGGAGGGTTTTTTTAAATTAATTTGAATAATAACGATAATAAATGAAGCCTGTTCATTGCCATTTTTGGATATCTGTTGTCAGTTGCTCAGTTTAAATATTTGTCTCTCAGAATAAAGTTCTTATTTGGAAAAAAAAATATCGTAAAGGCAGAAATTGTGTCATTTTCATCACTGTATTCATGGTGCTTTGCATAAGTAGATGCTTGGTAAATGTGTAAATTAAGTTAATGTATTGATGGGCAAAGCACTACATTTGGGATTATTTCAGTCTGATTGAGTCAGATTTTTCTATGCACTGGAAACAAACCTTATTTGGGTGGGAGATTTGAGGTTTAATTTTAAAAATCTTATAAATGTATGATATGTATTATTATTGAACAAAATACTTGGATTTAACATGTAAACATGTTTTTAGTACAATAGTAAGCTAAATTTGATTTCTAATTTAACATCTGTCTTTTTTTAAAGAAACTATTTCAACAGTATTTACTTAGAGCACCTTTTGTGAGTGAGCCTGCATGTGTTAGGTGTTGAGAAAATATAAAGAATTACAGGTTTAGCATCTCTAATCCAAAGATCTGAAATCCAAAATGTTCCAAAATTTGAAACTTTCTAAGCAATGACATGGAGACTGAAAGCTTGCTATTGTCTGTTGTTGCTGTTAAAAGCCAACACAGGGGTTCTGGTGATGCTGTGCTGCTTAGTTACCCTGAACACGTTACTTTTTCACTGTATTGATGGTATGTCATATTTACTGTTAAGTAGTTAGGTATGAATAAGTGTAAGAAAATGATTGCTTATGGGTAACATAAACTTTGAGTCAGGAATGATGATGATGCCAGACAACCACAGATTGCCCACATAGGTGGCTGAGATATAGACACCTTTGCTTTCTTTGTTTCATGCATAAAAAATTTTAAAAATATTATGTAAAATTACCTTCAGGTTATCTGTATAAGGTATATATGACACATAAATGAATTTCATGTTTAGACTTGGGTGCCATCCCCAAGATACGTCATTATGTATATGCAAATATTCCAAAATCTGAAAGAATTCAAAATCTGAAACACTTATGCTCCAAACCATTTTGGGTAAGGGATACTCAACTTGTAGGTTTTTTAAAAAATTACTTGTAAGCCTGTCAACCTAACCAAGTTTTCCTTTGTATGCATTACCTTCCTATTACATAAACATTTTTCAACTGTAGTCATTATGTCTGTTCTCCCACCTCTTTGGCAGTGTTCTTAATATATGGCAAAGTATCAAGGTCTTATATGTGCCAGAATAGTTCAAAACTGGTTCGATAAAAGTTGTTTGAAAAATGGTATGCTTATATGTGGTGTAATTATTGTATTGGAGTTATCAAGTGTAATGAGACTACAAAGAAGGTATGC